AAAAAAAAAAAAAAAATTGAATGCTGTGTGCTATTTCTCAATTCATTGGCATCAGCTCTTGAACCCTTACCATTTTAGACATTGAAGTGGCTTGTTACGGCTACGAGGGCATCGACGCTGTGAAAGAAGCCCTGAGAGCGGGTTTGAACTGTTCCACAGAGACCATGCCCATCAAGGTAAGCTGGCAGTTCCTCTCGCCCTGCTGGAAACAGAACACCTCAACAAATCAGATCTTTGTTTTCTGTTTTCTTTTCTTTTTTTCTTTTTGAGACAGTGTCTTGTTGTATATCCCAGACTAACCTTTTAACTCATAGCAGTCCTCCTACCTCAGCTCCTCTGTGGAGCTGGGTTACAGGCATGCACCACCACACTTAACTTTTATTTTTATTTTTATTCTATTCTATTTTGGTGCTCCAGACTGAAGCCAGGGTTAGTGAATACTTGCATCCCAGCTTTTTTGTTTTTAATGATCTAGTTGGCTTAGGCTGGTGGTGTAACTCCATAGCAGAGCACTTTGCTAGCATATACAAAGTGCTAGGTTTGAAAAAAAAGAACCATGTTTCATAATGAAAGTATCTTCCTTTGTTTTGTTTTATTTTAACTGAGCAGCAGTAGACAATATTTTGGGGGAATGTTTGTGACCATGTAGCAGGTTTTTCTATTGCTGCTGTCATAGTAAATGGCAACTTCTGTTGTGAGTGGGCCAGGGTCCCAAAATTCTTGCGTACTTGGAAAGGGTAAGCTGTTCTGTCAGCTACATGTATGCAATTCAGTAGCAATAAAATAAATGAGATAGCTGCTAGCTTAGAGTGTCTGACAAGGATTTCACTCCATCGCACAACTCTCTCTAAACCGATGGAGTTAAATCCTTGTGTTGTCTAGGTATATTCGTAATCGCATTTTTTGCTTTCTCCTTCAGATTAACCTCATAGCTCCTCCTCGGTATGTGATGACTACCACAACCCTGGAGAGAACGGAAGGCCTCTCAGTTCTCAATCAAGCCATGACTGTCATCAAAGAAAAAATTGAGGAAAAGAGGGGTGTTTTCAATGTTCAAATGGAGGTGAGATCAATGCCTTCATGTTTTACTTTGTTTTTGATTTATGTATTTGGTACAGGGTCTCACTACACAGCTCAGACTCAGAGTGATCCTCCTGTCTCAGCCTCCCTTGTGCTGGGATTATAGGCATGGGCCACACCTGATTTTGTTGGTCAGCATGGTGTGCGGCTGGCATGGCATGCAGTACCAGGGATTAACCTGAGTCCTTGCACTTGCCAGGCAAGCACTTAATAGACTGCAGAACTATCTCCCCAGCCTTGTTTTGTTTTGTTTTTTTTGAGACAGAGTCTCACTTTGCAGTTGGGCTGCCCTAGAGCTCACTTTGTAGCCCAGGCTGGCTTCGAACTCACCTGTTCTAGGCCTCTGTAGAGTACTGGGATTACAGACATGGGCCACCCATGCCCGACTTATTTTCTATTTAAAGTTATTAAAAAGCTTAAAATTGTCTATATGATTTATGATCTAAAATACCTGGTCACTGCCTCTTAAAACCAGATAAGTCAAATTTAAGATTGTATGCCTATAATCCCAGTATTAAGGGAGGCTCATGCAAGAGAATTGGCTAGAAAGGAAAGCATTCCTTTTCTTCCCTTTTTTTCTCCCTTCCTGTTTGTGACAGGGTCTAGCCGTGTAATTCAGGCTGGCTTTGAATTCATGGAAATCCTCCGCCTAAGCCTCCTAAATGCTGAGATTGTAAGTGTATGTCATCACATCTCTCATGGTGAAATAATTCCTTAAGAGTTAAAAGTAAAGGGCAAGCACCAGCAAGTAACCTCAATTCCCAGGAGGTAGAGGCAGGAGGATTGCAAGTTCAAATCCACGCTGGGCAAATTAGAGTCTTGGTGAGATATTATCTCAAAATTTGGTGGGCAGCAAGGTTATAACTCAGGCAGCCATGGGCAATCCACAGTACTGCCCCCCAATCAGAAAATGGAAGATTACAAACTTGCTAAGTATAGAATAATTCTTGGGCCACACATGGTGACACATACCTGTAATGCCAGGACCTGGGAGGCTGAGGCAGAAATAGCACTGCAAGCTGGCGAACATCCTGGGCTAGTGAGTTCAAGGCCACCCTGGACTACACAGGGAGAACTGGTTTCAAAAAAAGATTGATTTGGTTCCTAAAAGGGGTTTATGTAGGTAAATGAGGAACTATTAGTACTGGAATGTCGTGCTGTAGGATGGCCACTCAGGATGGTGCCTCATTCATGTAATCCTAGCACTTGAGGCTGAGATGGGAAGATGGCAAGCTCAAGACCAAATTGGGCTTCCTAGCAAGTTCAAGACTGGTGTAGTCTACAGAGTAAGAGCCTTGTCTCAGAAAATAAAGTGTCTTCCGCTCATCAAGAACAGGCCCTAATTTCCACACATACACGTATATCTATACATATAGTGACTTATTCTCTGGAAAAAGATAATTTATTTGTGGTCTTAAAAGTTTTAGCCACAGAGATTATTTCATGTATTTTCAGTTTGTTTTAGCTTGAAAAGATGACATAATATTAATATTCCATTTTGTATAAAAGTCTCTCTAGTTCCAGCTTATATTCATAAATAAATTTCTAATATTAGAATTTAATAGTAATAAGTCAGCATTCTAAAGAAATTTGACAGATTAATTTCTGTAAAAGTTAAAATTAGCAAGACATGGTGATGTACACCTATAATTCCATCACTCTGAGAGGCTGAGGCAGAAAGATCTCTAGGAGGCCAGCCTGGGCCACATAGTTCAAAACCAGCCTGAACTATATAGCAAACCTTGTCTCAACAAGACATAATAATAAAAGTTAACAAAAGACTAGGAGTGCTGGTTCAGTGTGAAGGGTGTGAGGTTAGCACCCACCACTATGAGAAAAAAATTTAAAATACTAGACAGTGATAGTATTGAAATTGGGTTTGTACAGAGTCCACTAAAAAATGTACATGCACTTTAGCAACTGGCTGTCTTACTAAATGCCTGGAAGTGCATGGCCACGGCTTCAAGCACTATAATTGTAGAGGCCAAGGGGCACTTGTCTAAGTCTCATGATGTCTCAGCAAGTTTAGTATTGCGATACTTATACAGGTTTTTCTTTTCCTGATACATACATGTGTTTAACTGCTTCACTTGAAATTATGCCTGTGCCTCCACAGCCCAAAGTGGTCACCGACACCGACGAGACAGAGCTCGCGAGGCAGCTAGAGCGGCTTGAGAGAGAAAACGCAGAAGTAGATGGTGACGACGATGCGGAAGAGATGGAAGCCAAAGCTGAAGATTAACTCTAGAAGAGCTTCCAGTTTGAGGAACGTGAAGCAGTCCTGGCTGTAAACTCTAGACTTGAAAGTTTTCCAGTATTGAAAACTTCAAAGCTGAATTATTTTTTATTCCAAGTATTTAAATGTTCCAGCAGACAGAACACGATGCCCTCCCAAATGTTAGCCTTTCCTGAACACACTGAGCGTTGGGAGTGGCTTGATCTCACTAGATACAGATCTTCCAGCTGAGAACAGTCCTACAACTGGGCTTGTGGTTTCCGTTTCTTACGTCTTCAGATTGGCACCCTTTGTAGCTAGTGCCTCCCTGAGATTTACCAGAGGCACCCAAAGCAGACAATAGCAATCTCAGTCTTTCTATATAAAATGTATTCAACCAAACATCAAATAAATTTCTGGGATATTTAACTATAGGCTTTTTCCTTCTTGTCACCAGTTAAAAGTATTCTGAGTGCTAAGATCCTACTTCTGTTACCTTCAGTCTAGATGTAGAAATACAAGATTAGCTGGTAAAAGGATCTATACAGCAGATCCTTTCAAAAGAGGAGGTTATTGCCAGCCAGATAGCTCAGTGGACTAAAGCACCTGCTTAGGCAGGCACAGTGACCAGGGTTCGATCCCCAACATGCCTGCCGGCCTCACCCACGGGGCATGCTGAGAGGGTGACTAAGACTGGGTGTGGTGGCGTGTGCCTGTAATCCCAGCACTTGGGAGGCTGAAAACGGGAGGATCACTATAAGTCCAGTCTATAGTGAGACCCTGTAGACCCCATACTAAAATACAAAAAAAAATTAGTTAGAGAAAGTATTTTAAGAATGGTAAAATTTAAGACAGCCTTAAATGCAATTAAAGGGATTATGTTGTAGTGTGCCTTTTACCTATTTGAGACAGGATAGCTTGGTTTATGAGACTTTGTCACACTGGGACCTCGGTGGTATTTAAGCTGCTTGCCTTGAGGTTTGTTTTTTTTGTTTGTTTGTTTTTGCGGTACCGGGGATCACCTTGCACTTTGCCAGAAAGTTGCTTATGCCATTGAGCTAACTCCCCAACCCCTTTACACTGAGTTTCTAATTGAAGATGGTAAGGGGTTTTTTTTTTCTTAAAGAAGATGCTGTTTTGATTTAGTTTGTTTTTTGTTTTTTTTTGGCAGAACCGGGGATTGAACTCAGGCCCTTGCACTTGCCAGGGAAGTGCTTATTCCACTGAGCCATCTCCCCGCCCGTTTTGATTTAGTTAAGAAAATCATCTATTAGCTTTTGATACATTTTTCTGTTTTCCCCTTTAAAGTATCTGTGAGGTGCCACCTATGTACTGGGTTCTCCTTAGCACCTGTTTGAAAAGCTAGTGATTTCTTTTAAAATTGTGTGCAAAACTTTACGGGTAACACACTGAAGTTAGAGCTACAGTACCTATTTACTGGATTGAAAACTTCAAAGCTGAATTATTTTTTAATCCAAGTATTTAAATGGTCAGTAATCGGGTCAAGTGGCTATCAACTCATACAATATTAGTGATCAGTTGGTCCATGCATAAATTAGTTCAAAATACAGAAAGTCATGATAGGTGTGGTGGCATGTGCTTCTAATTCCAGCTCCTCTGGAGGGAGGCAGGAGGATCGCAAGTATGAGACTAGCTGGACCAACTCAGACCCTGTGCAGTGGTCTGGGAATGTGGCTCAGTGGTGGTGCACTAGGTTCAATCCCCAGTACTGGGTGATAGATGGGGAGTGTAGAAAGTCTTGGGTTACTTTGGTGTGATTATAGACTTAATCTCTTTAAATACTTGAAAGACCAGTTGTTTATTATCTGTAGGAATAGCTGTTGAAACACACAGATTAAATTTAACTCATCTCAGTCAACGCAGGACTAGACTTCACTCAGTACCAAGGTACTAGGCCTGGGGACGCTGCTCTTTGCCTCCACTCCCAGCCACTTGGGAGGCAGAGGCCAGATCATGGCAAGGCTGACCTGGGCAGCAGAGTGAGAAAACAAGGCCTTGGGTGGTGAGTGCAGTGGGGAGAGCGCAGGTAGCTTGGGACCTTTGCGAGGATTCAGTCCAGTCCTTTAGTGGAGCAGCCCATGACTTCAGTCCAGTGGTCTAGCTGGAGGTGGCCCATTCCGAGGGAGCCACGGAGACTGGCACATAACTTCCCTTTTTGTCTGCAGCATCAAAAAGTAGGTTTGTAAGACAGCATCAAGATGTTTCCAAAATGTAACTAGTGCTCCTTTGCTGTATCCAGGGGAACTGAACTTTGTTTACTGGAAATTTTGGACTTCAAAAGCCATAACTTGAAATGTACTGGTGGTCTCTATGGAGATTTTTACCCCACAGGCCTGCTCAATGCCATGGGGCTGTGGGTTGAAGAGCCCCGCCGCAGGAAGAGCAGCCTCACTGACAGCATGAGCAAGAAGATCCATTCACACCCAGCAAGCGGACGCCCCACTGACCTAAAACAAGGGCAGGTGCGTGGAGACGCTTTCCTAGCTCTGACCTGCACAGGACTAACATGACTAAACAAACCTTAGCTCTCTTACCAAAGCTTTTCCATTTAAGACAGTGACAGTTTCACATTTCCCCCATCTGCCTTTGCTTCGGGTCAAGTGGCTATCAACTCATACAATATTAGTGATCAGTTGGTCCATGCATAAATTAGTTCAAAGTAATGTTAAAATATGAACATTTAAACCATTTATTATATTGGTTTTATAACAAGTCAGTACTTTCATGTTTAGGCGGTAAGAGCAACACTGACAGCAGCTAACTACTGCATCATGCGGAGTAGGTACCTGTCAGGTCCAGCCGCTCATGACCTGGCAGTGGACACCAAGAACAGTTAAATAGGGATTGTTTTTCCTGAATTCTGGCACCTTGCCACCTTCACTGATTTGCCTCAAGCTGATCATCTATTTTCCAACACCTGGAAATCTTGACCTCAATACAAAGAGACAGTTGTGCCAGTCTGGAGGCAAGAAGCCATCAAACCAAATGCAGTGTAATTCAGATAAGCAGCTATCAATATTCAAAAGGCAGTACAACTAATTACAGGGACATTAAGCCTTGGTGAAATGCCAAAAGGAAAATGCTTTAAAAGGCATTCTAGAACGAAAGGAACAAGAAAAATATTTAGAAGTTCCTTATAAGTTAGGTCAGTAATCCAAGTAAGATTGAGAGGAGAAAATTCAAGCAGCACACAGTGGCATGCACCTAGAATCCCAGCACTCGAGGTAGGGTCACAGGTTCCAAGCCAGCCTGGGCTACTTAGCGAAAAATTGCAAAAAAAAAAAAAAACAGACCGATCTATTAATGCATTTTGCTTAAGCACTTTGGAAGTACCCATCCCCTTACCTGTAAGTTACATATTTTATTAAAGTCCAAGAATTTGTACTTGGCAAGAATCCTGGCATTATCATGTGCCAGATCACTGTATAAACTTGAAAGTAATAAAAACTTCTTTCAAAAACACTGCATGACAGACTTGTCACTACTTTGATCTCCCAACTAGGATGTTTCTGGGTGCCTTTCTCCATTCGTGTTTAAAACCAAAACTTTGTGTCTTGATTTAACTTGTCCTTTACATTTTCATGTCTTCTAGCCTTCTGCTGTGTCCTTTTTTTAAATGCTGTTTTTCATAGACAAACTGTAATTTTACTTTTTTGTTTTTTGTATGTGGTTAAGTTCTACAAGTAAATCCATGACTTCTTTCTGGGCTGGCTTTCCAAAGCTATTAAACTGAATTTTTGCCATCCCCACTTAAAAGTGTCTCAGTGACATAGATCACTTGAAATACCTCCATAATTAACTTGAATAATACTTGGCCTGTATAGGTAGGAAATCTTTGAAAACAATAAAAACTAAACAAATGTCGAATTTTATTCCAAAGGAAGAGGTAAGGGTTACTGATGCTTCAGGGAAGTGTGTTCAGATGTTCCATTTGAATAGCATGGCCAGTGTGAGGGTTCCAACAGAGGACTTTGGCTCTGGTGCCCGAGGACAGGGCTGGCCATCCCGATGGGCAACAGCACACTGGCACCCACGGCTAGCCTAGTGCCGCTATTGTATCATCTGAGAAACTATCCAGTAGTCTTAATCCAAAGCAGTGCAAAATGTACAACGTTAAGTCCTTTTCTCTTTTTTGTGGCTGGGAATTCAAGCAGTCTACCACTTGGTGACATCCCTGGCCCAAGTCTTAACACGCCCATTCTCCAGGAAATCCTCTGTGCCAGCCCAGAGAGGAATGGAGTCAGTCCTTGTCATGTTAGCTTTTTGATAGCTTCAATCCACTCTGTTCGTTCAGCCTTGCTGCTGGCCTGGATATAATAGTGTATGTCATCCTTTGTGATCACTTTGAAGAGATTTCCTTGGACATTCCCTTTAACACCTAGGCAGAAAAAGGAAAAATCAGTGATTGAACATCCCATCTGCTTCAGCCTGAAGCAGCTACAAGTCAACTGAGACACGGGCAAAAACTCATGCAGTGATGTACTCCTTACACAAAGTATGTGGTGGGATCCTGCCAGGAGCACGTTTTCCTCTCCTGCTCCCTTTCCCTCCTGACCTGCCCGCTTACCCAGACAGCTCTGCGGCCCTCTTGCCTCCCTGTGCTAGGGCACAGATGTGGCTCCATACACATCCAAGAGTGCAGTGTGTTCATGTTATAGCGGGTACAGGACTTAGTCTTTGACTCTGGGCTTCATTTTCCACATCCTCAAGATAGAATATTGCCCTCCTACAATGGCTTGCTATTGTAAAATGGGTAGAACATGTAAGTAACTGTTACAACCTAACAGTGCAAGCCTGAGCTACGGGAAGCTTGTGGACAGCACAGACTGTGGATTCAAATAGGTTATTTACTTGAATTGTCATATTAAAAAAAACCTATCTAGCCTTTTCTGTTTTTGGAATAGGCTTCAGAACTCACACCACAGACAGGTGTGGTGGCACACACCCGTAACACCTATAATCCCAGCATGCTGTGAGGCCGAGGTGGAAGAATCAGATTGGAGCCCAGCTGGGCAGCTCAGGGAGATCCTCTTTCACAGAGGGCTGGGAAAGCCCAGCATGGCAGGACATGTGGGGAGGCTGAGGCAGGAATACTGCTGTGAGTTCAAGAACAGCCTAGACTACATAGTGAGTTCCAGGCCACTCTGAACTACATAGCAAGACACTGTCTCAAAAAACAAAGTAGGGGGAACAGCCCTACACAAAGGCACTGGGTCCAATCCCCAGTGCCACCAAAAATCAGACCAACCAAAACCCACACCATTCGCTGTCACATTCAGTAAAGCCCCTGATGAGTCCCACAGCGCAGGTCTTCCTTGGCAGCATGACTCAGGACAGAAGGGAGGCCCCTAGACCCCGCCAGGGCTGAGATTGTGCCTTACCTGTGGGAACACCATTATCCTCCAGAGCAGACACAAGGGACCCACGAAGAGAAAACCCACCTACTGGCCTGTTTTCCTCCTGCAGAGAAAAAGACAGGAATGTTGTGAATGCACAAAAGGGAAGTCACACCTCAACTCTTGCAGGCAGGGACAGAGCTCCTTGGCAGACCACCTACTCAATGCAGAAGGCCCCCAGTTCCATCCCCAGCACTGCATGAATAAAGATGAGGCTGAGCTTGCAGTCACACGGCCAAACTACATATACGCAGGTTCAGGCCTGTCTCACAGCCGATAGCAACAAAGCCACCAACACTGCTGAGGCTGCATCTGATGCAACTGAGCAGCCGCTTTTTATTCCTGGACACCTCTCCAATAGAGCCTCCAGTCTAATACCCTCAGACAGCACACACTGGCTTCCCTAGTCCTTGTGTGAGTCAGAGGAAAACCCATGTTATCTAAGTTATTTTTGCAAAACTGTAAGGTATTCCTCTACACTGGACACCATTCAAGGCCAGGTTTAGGTCTGGGCATGAAACTTTGAAGGAGAGCTGGGGAGATAGCAGTCTAAGCAACTACCTGGGACAAGTGCAAGGACCCAAGTTTGATCCCTGGCACCATATGCCATGCTGGCCCCAGAACCCTGGGCAGGCTGCGCCAGCCCCTGAAACTGGGTGTGATGATGCACGCCTCTAATCCCAGTGCTGGGGAGGCTGAGACAGGAGGATCACTATGAGTCTGAGCTGTATAGCAAGGCCCTGTACTAAATGAATGAATGAATGAATTTAAAAATTGAAAAAAGAAACTTTGAGGGAAACAGAACTGTGATTGGGACATCTCAGGAGGATTTGGAGCACTTTTACATACCTGGAGCCTCAGCCCAGGGTTCCCTTCAATTAAGCGATCATCAGTTTTACACTCAGTGGTAGAAGTATGACCCTCAAAAAAGCCATTAGCAATACCAGGCATGGTGGTACACCCACCCCTGTAATCCTAGTACTCAGGAGGCTGAGGCAGGAGGATTGCTGCAAGTTTGAGGACAAGTTGGGATTCATAGTGAGTTTAAAGCCAGCATGAATTCTACAGTGAGATACTGTCTCAAAAAACAAAACCAAACCAAATCAAAACAAAAAATAGTAAAGCCAGAGGTGTTCACTATTCAGTGCCAAGGGAGGAGAACCTCCACCCTATAGGGTGGAGGGCAGCCCCAGGCAGAGGGCTGAGTTGGCCTTGAGAAGCCAGCCCTGGCCACGGGGTGGACCTTAGCCCGCCACGGGAAAGGTGAGAGCCAGCTGGAAGCAAATCAGCCACAAAAACGTCTCTTCAGGTGGAACTGGGCTGACCAGTACCCCACGGACAGGCCAGCTGTGTCACAGGCATGTCTGGAGGTCCCAGGAGGGTGCTCCTCAGGCAGCGTCGGCCGTGCCCCTCCAGCCCTCTTCGCTCTGGCCTGAGTGTAGGCCCCTGACCGAAACAAGCGGGGAAGACGCTCCCTCTCGTTACTGTGTGGACAAGGCAGAAGAGCTCAAGTGCCGCTTGGACCTGGGTCACCTCAGCACGAGCCCTACTCATCCGAAACGCAGACTAGGAGTTCTTGAATCAACTAAAAATAAGAGCACTAGTAACTTAGGAACAGCCTATGAGAAAAGGAAACATCAGAGCAGAACACGAAATCGAAATTGAAGTTGAGGAATCGTGGGTCTTGGGATGGAAAGGGGAAAGGACGCTGTGAAGTGCAGGAGGGATCTGCTCCGCTGGCCCAACAGGCCTTGGGGAAAGAGCAGGCACTTTTCCTCTTGGAAGAGCCAAGACACTCTGCCCAGAAGTGGGGAGAAGGACTTGGGCCCAGAGGAAGGCCAGGCACACTCACTTTGGATGGGTCGTAGTAATGCAGGAAGGCCGGCTCCCTCCGCAGCACGAAGCGGCGCACCTTCCAGTTCTTCCGCTTGTGCCCCTGCAGACAGAGAGTGCCAGGCTCACTGAGACCGCTCTCTACCCCCGCCCCCGCCCCCACCTGTGGGTGTCCTGAATGCCAACCCCAACTGCGGGCTGTGCTCTAAAAAATGACAGCCTTCAGGGGATGAAGAGCTGCTCCACACTGCCCCCTGCTGACAAAGCCAATGGACAGCAGTTCAGACCCTGCCTGCAGCACGGGGAGCACCAGGATAGGTAGGTGCTGCCAACTGGACCCAAGGGTAGGCTTTATTAGCACTTTTTTGTAGGTCAGGATTTTACAGTCCTTGTATGGGGTTGGCACACAGACGTAACAGCCCCCAATTCCCTCGTTCATCCCTCTTCATCCATTTCTCCATCTACCTGACCACCTTCTAGTATCTCTTTTATTTTGCTCTTTAAGTTTCTCCTATAAGAGAAACCGTGTGATAGTTAAGCCTGTGTGTCTGACTTCACTGAACACTGGTCTCAAGATGCACCCATTTTCCTGTGAATGACACAAGTTTTCTTAAGGGTCAACTTAGTTCAAAAACAAACAGAGCTGCATGTATGTTTGCATACTTTCTATGTGTGCACCTCTGTAGACAACATTCTGCATCAGAAAAAGAAATGAGCAAGGACCAGTGAGACAGCTCAGGGACTAAGCACCTGCTTAGGCAAGCGCAGGAACCAGGGTTCAATCCCCCACACCACATGCGGCGCCAGGCCTGGCCCCAGGCGCGCTGAGCCAGCCACCAAGACCAGGCGTGGTGGCCCATGCCTGTAATCCCAATGCTGGGGAGGCTGAAAACAGGAGGATCACTAGAAGTCTGAGCTGCATAGTGAGACCCTGTACAAAATATATTAAAGAGAAAGAAATGACTGATAGGTGTGGAGGTGCACACCTGTAATCCCAGCACTAGGGAGGCTGAGGCACAAGGATCACCTAAGGGCCAGCCTGCAGTACATAGTAAGTTCAAAGGCAGCCTGAACTGCATTAGTGAAACCCTGTCTCATTAAAAAAGAAAGAAAGAAAGAAAGAGAGAGAGAGAGAGAGAGAGAGAGAGAGAGAGAGAGAATTGCCAGGCACAGTGGTGCACACCTGTTACCCCAGCATTGGGAAGCTGAGGCAAGAGGACTGCTGTGAGTTCAAGGCCACCCTGAATGAACTACATAACAAGACCTTATCTCAAATCAAAAGGAGAAAGAAATGATTAACTACCATATATAAAATACTATAAATGTGTATGACATTAATCAGAGAGAGACAGAGGGCGAGACAGAGACTTTCTCTGGCCTCACACGCTAGACCACAAATCACCCTTAGCACCTTAGAGTCCCCCTTCACACCCCCTCCCTGCTGCTGCAGCAGCTTCCTGACCTCCCCACTCAGGACTCCTGTCAGAAGCTGGTGGGTGGCACACCCCTGGAACCCCAGAACGCTTCAAGGCGAGGCAGGAGAATTCCAAGTTTGAATGCAGTCTGGGCAACTCAGCAACTTAGTGAGACTGTCTCAAAGTATAAAATTTTAAAAGGGCAGGGTGTGGCTCAGTGTGAAGGCTATCAGTTCAATCCTTAACACCACCACCAAAAAAAGGACACCTGTCAGCAGACAGAAGAACACATGGATTTTTCCCTAAATACTACTCAAGAAGCGGGCAGGTGCCAATATGAAAGAACAGGCAATTATGCAGACACTGCTTCTGAACGCTGTGATAATCACCCAGAACCTCCAGGGCTGGCAAGGCGAGGACTCAGCACTCCTGCTCGGCTCACCTCCAGGCCCCTCCCCCCCTTCCTGCAGCCCCAGGAAGACCCGTCCCCTCCTCCCTGCACGCAGCAGCCCACCTGCTTGGACAGATAGCCCTGTTTGACCACCTCGCCACTTAGATCCATGGAGCTCAGACTGATCTCTTCTTTGGGAGCCACCTTCTTCTTGTAGCTCTCAGCCTGCGGACAGGGGAGCAAGGACTCAGTTATAAAATAAGGCCCTGGGAGTCACGGGGGGGGGACAGGGAACTCTGCTGCAGAAGCCCCATGGTCCCTTGGACAAAGCTGTGCCCCCCTGACCTCGGCCTCCCTCCACAGTTGTGGACCGCACACACCCACTGTCACCCTCTCCCCTCAGGCAGAAGAGGAGCCCATTCCTAACTTACAAAAGTGTACAGGGCCGTGCTGTCATCCAGGAAGTGCTCAGCCAGATCCCCTGAGCGGACAGCGCCCATGCTGCGGGCCCCCACCGGCCTGAGGAAGTTCTCCTCCAGCAGCATGGAGCCCAGGGTCACCGCTTCCAGGCGGCTGGCGGCAAAGGCATTGGAGAGGAGCCAGTCCACCAGTGAGGAGCCTGCGCAGGTGAGGGTGGTCAGCAGTGTGCGAGTCGGCCTCCCTAGGGTGCTCGGCCAACAGCCACACTCACATCCACCTCCCTCCACCCACACCACCACCCAGCTCCCAGGCTCGGGTGTCAAGCTCACCAAGAAAAGTCTTCTTGTAGGTGCTTCCCTGCTCCACGTTGGGGCTTGGCCGGATCCCGCTGCTGCTGTCACGCATCTTGTCCACGATGCGACTGCACAGAAGGAAGGCACAGGAGGGACCCTGGTCATGAGAGCTCCAGGGAGGGGCGCAGAAGTCCCTGCTAAGGGTATGCTGCCAGAGGCACAGGTGTGACCCGACCGGAGAGAAGGGCCTTCAGAGGCAGCACCACCAGCCGCTCCTCTCCAGGTCGGCCGCTCCTCTCCAGGTCGGCCGCTCCTCTCCAGGTCGGCCGCTCCTCTCCAGGTTGGCCACATTGGTTTTTTTTTGTTTGTTTTTGGTGGAACCGGGGATTGAACTTAGGCCCTTGCGCTTGCCAGGCAAGTGCTTATTCTACTGAGCCATCTCCCTGGCCCCCAAGTTGACTTTCAAAGACACAAGCTACAAGGCAAAGTGTGCAGTCGCCACATGGTTCTCTGCCTATCACTCAGCACAAACTTCACCAGCTACCGCTCGCACTGCCCCTCCCCAAGCCCACTGCTGCCCACCTATACTGGCCTCCTCTGTGCCCACCTATACTGGCCTCCTCTGTGCCCACCCACAGCCAGCAGCTCCCAGCACCCAGAGGTTGCCCCTCATGCAGTTTCTCTGAGCCTGAGAACAGACTCATACCACAGCTTTGTTTGCTTTGTTTGAAACAGTGCCTTCTGGATAGCCCAGGCTGGTCTTGAACATGTGACCTTCCTGCATTGGCCTCCCAAGCGCTGGGATCACAGCTGTGTGCCTCTGGCCCCTCCAGTTTCTTGAGTGAATAAAAATGAGGAAACCCATTGAGCAAAAGGCCACAGCTGCCATAACTTTCCATTCTGGTGACCAGTAACCTGCTTGGGGCAGTGTCCCACAGAGCTGTGACACAGTCCTGAAGAATGTGCTGTAGCGAAAGGGCAGTGTCTCTTCCACCTCAGTCACAGAGGCCCTGGGAGGTCACAGTGAGGAGGGGGGACACAGGCCCAGGCCCTTCCTGGGCAGAAAAAACCCTGTGCCTTGAAGCATGATGCAGACAGCAAGGCACAGGGACAGGAGCGGCTGCAGCACTAAGCCAGGCGGGTGAGGGCAGGGCAGTACTCACTGCAGGCTGATATGCGGGGGCAGCTTGAAGGACGTCCTCAGCACATGGAGCTGCTGGACCTTCCCAGGCTGCCCGGCGTGAATGGCTCCCGTGATCTCAAAGGCCCAGGCGTCCCTCTCCTCTCGAGAACAGGCCTCCAGGAAGTACTCTGTGGAAGTCCGAGTCTTCAGCTTAATGAGGAGCTGCGGGAGAGACAGCTGGTCGGGATGGCGACGCCGGGCAGGACAGCGCATGCCTGGGATCCCGGCACACAGGAGGCTGAGGCAGGAGGACCACTGTGAGTTTGAGGCCACCCTGTAATACTCAACGAGTTCAAAGGCAACCCAAAATACATGGTGAGACCCTGTCTTGCGAATAAAGGAACAACACATGAATGAATGACAGGGTCATCATACGGCCATTGCCTGCAGAATGTCCTCAGCCTAGTCCCAGTGGTGGTCTTTTAAAGGGTCACCTGCAGCAGCGGGGCATGGTATTGCACACCTGTCGCCCAGCACTCTGGGAAGCTGAGGCACACTGGCGATTCGCCAACATGGTGAGACCTGGTCTCCAAATAGACAATACACAGGAGTGGCGGGATGGGAGTCCAGCTCAGCTTACAGTGCTGGGTTCATAGCCACTACTGCCAAAATAATAAAAAAAGGTTTAAAGTTCACTTGGACACCTTCAGGGTCTGGAGCTTACAGTCTCCACAGCAGCCCTCCCAGCCTGACAAGAGTGGGCATGGGTCCCCCAGAACCACACAGACAAGGCTCACAAGCAGGGACGACCCTGTGCCCAGGTGCTGCAGATGCCAGGGCAGGGCAGTAGCCTCACCAAGCCTCAAATCCCCACCTATGATGACAGGATATTAATGCCTGCCTCAGCAGGAGTGCTAGTAATGGTGGCCTCGAGCCTCCACGCCCCAGCTGAAGCACCCACGTGTTCCACACATTCCCAGATGATGCAGTTCAACTTCTTAGCTGGTCCACACTTCACTAAATGTCCCACACACGGCCAACACTGAGACTAGGACTCGGAATGCAAAGTGATGCCGAGGACCCAGGGGTGCGCGGGCTGTGGACACCGTGGGCACTGTACACTCAGGCTCCTCCGTGCAGTTTTTTTTTTTTTTTTTAACTGTTCTTCTTGTGCGTGCCTAAATAGGCATTAGGGGGATTCATGAATCAACTGTAGGATTTTGTATTCTTGACCCTATTAATAAACATCATCTGAGTAGGCCAGGGGGGCCACTTTTATTTGTAATGTTGGGTGTTTGAGACAAGGTCCTGCCATACATCCCAGAGTGGCCTAGAACTTGGGGCAATCGTCCTGCCTCAGGCTCCCAAGTGCTGGGATTATAGGTGTGCACCACCAGACGCAGCCCTGGGGAGGCCACTTCTGAAGCATTTGGTTTCATTCATGTCAAATGCCCTCACAGCTGAAAATCAAACCCAGGGCCTCAAACAGACTAACTGATGCTGCTTCCCAAAGTATTTCTTTTTTCTCTCATGTATTTGTTTATTCTTTTATTTTAAAAAGGAAAAGCACCAAAATTTCAAAACAAGATAATATGAGCATATCAATAAATTGTGTACTGTTATATTTAACTTAATTACTCAAGAGTATAAGATACGGGCATTTAATTGTCCAAACAATACTACCACAGACCTCTTTTTTAATGAAGTAAGAGAAATTAGTAGTATAACTATCTTAACTGCCCTCTGTGTGTGTATGTGTGTGTTTTCCCTTCTCCTCCACCTTCCCCCGTCCCAGTTTCTCTTTTCTTGGGACCAGTTTCTTCCCAGTTCATAGTATCTGGTGTTCACTTTGGATCTTATGTACTCTTTGGGCTTCTCACACTGGGGAGATGATACAATGGTTGCCTTTGTGCATTTGGTTTACTTCGCTTAGGACGATGGCCTCAAGTTGAATGCATTTATCTATAAAAGTCTTCAGTTTATCTTTCTCTGTGGCTGAGTAATGCCCTACTGTATAAACAGACGACAGCTTTTTCTTTCTTTTATGTATTTGGCACAGGGTCTCACTGCGCAACTCGGAACTCGTTGTGATCCTGTTTTCAGCCTCCCAGTGCTGGGATTACAGGTGTGTATCGTCACGCCCAGACTCAGTCACTGGCTCAGTGCGCCCTGGGGGTGGGGCTGGCGCTGCACATGGTGCCAGGGATTGAACCCTGGCCTCTGAGCTTGCCGAAGCAGGCAGTTAGTCCGCTGAGCTATCTCATCAGCCCAACCAGACTACAGCTTGGTCACTCATTCCTCAGGGCATTCTGGCTGTTTCCAAGATTTAGCTATTATAAACTGTGTCGCTATGAGCATGGATACACATATAACACTGGTACAATTTTAATTTTTCTGGGAAAATAGCTGGGTCAAATGGTACCTCTTTCCACAGCACTTACACCCTCTACATTCCCACCAACAATGGAGAAGGGTTCCTTTTCCCCACAGCCTCTCTAGTATCTGCTATTGATTTCTTGAAATAGCCATTCTTTCCTGGGTGAGATGGAATCTTAGTGTTGTTTTAATCTGCATCTCTCAAATGGCCAGCAATGGTGAACATCTCATATGTTTATTTGCTGTGGGTATCTCTTCAAGTGTGCATTCATCTTAGATGCCCATTTTTTGACTGGGTCTTTAAACATAAGAAGTTTGATTTATTTAAATTCTTTATACGTTCTAGACAGTAGTCCTTTGTCTGAGGAACAGATGGCAAACATTTTTCCTACAAAGTGGGTTGTTGCTTCACTCTTACTGGTTTCTCTTGCTGTGCAAAAACTTACCACGATGAGATCCCAGTTGTTGGTTCTTCGTGGCACTTCCTGTGCAATCAGGGTATTATTCATAAAGTCTTTACACACAACAATGTCTCCAAAAGTTTTATCTACTCTTTTTTATTTTGTTCTATCTACTCTTATCTTCCAATGTTTCTGTTTTAATATTTGGATCTTTGATCCATCTCCAATTTAGTTTAGCACACATAGGTCCAATTTTAATCTTCACATGTGCAAAGCCAGTTTTCCCAGCACTTTATTTAAAAGGCTACCTTTTTTCGAGTGAAGGTATTTAGAATCTCTGTCAAAGATAAGGTGGCTGAGTACATCTGGAGTTGGACTTCTGTGCTTGCCTCTATTAATATAGTATATTAATTTATTGATTTGCATATGTTGCA